CAATGTACGTATTGTTTTTCCTTGTATTCCTAGAGAGCCCTATTGCTTGTTTAGGTGATTAATCTGACTCTTCGTGGGTATCACCACAGGTTAATATACCCTTACTCAAACAAGGCTATCTATATTATACCTTAAAAATATTTTTGTCGTTGTCAAGGTAGAAAAGAGGGCTGAATTGATTATGCGCTCTTCGATCAGTCTTTTCTTCAACCTTAAACATCAATATCCAGTTTTGGAAACCGAGTTTCGTACTTCCTTACATTAATTATCTGTACTCGAATGACAAATCACTTAAAGACGTCCGCTTTTAATATAAATAATAATATAGAGTAAGGTTAACAAGAATATTTGAAGTTTGCAAGCGATTAAAAAAAAGACAGATATATTGAAACCTTTCAAGGAGATAGAGGGAAAAAAGCAAACTTTTACAATATTATTTACACTGAAATAATTTCTGACTCAGTCCGCTTAGCTTAATGGATAATGCGCCTGTCTGCTGACAGGGTGAGATTAGCACTGCGAGGTACACAAAAAGGGTGTTAAAAAAAATATATGATGTGATTGTGCTGCCTTTTTTGACTTCGACAAGTAGTTAGACATTCTGGTCTTTTCGGATAAGTATGAAAACCGTTGTCCAAACAAAAAAAATTGTGATTCGCTGTGTTTGTTTTGTTGTAGAAGGTGACCATATCAATTCAATCTGCCACATACTTAACCTGCTTTGCACGTGATCAATAATATCATGAAATTATCATGTAACCTTTTTTTCTTCGTTGACGTTGAATTGGAGTTATACTTTAGCTGCTTCCTGGAAATTAGTTGCGATGTCTCTTGGCGACGACGACACCGTCTTCAATCTTATGTTTAACTGAACTTTTTCGAGCTTTTTGACAACATTTCTCTGTTGTTATAGAAAATACTAGATGGTTTTCACAGTGACGTCATCAAATTATTAAGTCAAAATAGCGAGGTTTTACGAATTCTTATTTACACTAGGTTGAAGACAAAAAACAAAAGAAATCTTTGTGCAAGTTTCCAGTCCCGTAGCATGTTTCATTTCGAAAATACTGCAATTTGAACTTCCGATTTTTCACAGTGCGTGACGCCAAAATAGGAATGCTGTCTCGTTGAAAAAAAAGTCTCTCCTCTTGATTTTCAGCAGTATAACCATTTCAAGTATTTGAAGATATGTTTATGTGCACGTATACTAGTTCTAGAGTGAAAAGAAAGAGCTTTTATAGAAGAAGTGAATTCCAGATGTTTTAGTTGATTTCCGGCGGCCATATTGGTGCACCAAGACGGTACACCAATACGTCGTCTCCATACAAAGGTGCTTGAAACATTTCTGCAAATAACTCAGAAACTGTAGGCCACAAAGACTTGAGACTTGGACAAGAAGTTTATATATTAGTCTTTTATAACATTTCATTTTCTTGGCTCCTTCCACTGGACTGTTTCCAATTTATTTTTTTGTTGCGTGACAATGAAAACAACTTATAGCTCTTATTGTTAAAAACACCATCACAAGGTTAGTTAAATATATTAGGACAGCGTCAGCTGCGAAAAATGTTATATTACTCGGGGGCGTATCTAGACCATAGACCGTAGGCCTGTTTTGGTTTGATCACTCTGCCGCTTGTAATAAATTATGCGTTGTTGGGGTGAGTTAAAAAGCTTGAGAGCTCAAACTGTTGGTGAGGTCAGTGCGTACTACATCGTAGTCGTGCGTGCAATTTTCAGGATATGTGGAAATAAAGGTCAACGAAGCCTACAACTAAACGAAAAGCTGGCTACACCCCTGTTTCTTATCAAATAAATATGCTTCTATAGTGCATAAATGGTGTTTCGATATAGTTTTTCAGAGGCCATACCGATATTTTTCAATCGCCTTAAAAGTGATTTTATCCTCGTCTGATCGCAATAAAATTTCCACCAAGGATTGACTATAGATTGAAATTTGTCAAAATGTCGGTTTAAGTAAAATCGATATTACTATGACAATAAATAAACAAAAAACTTTGAAATTGATACACGCCTAATTTTGCGCGGTCTAGACCAGCTACTGAAAATCCAACACTAGGAACGTAAAGTTTGGTGTTTAGCAAATATCCTCCGTAAGGAGTAAAAAATTCTTCATGTTTGAATTCGATTAAAACGAAAATATATTTCAGACCTTAAATTTTCAATAGCCGTGATAAATTATTTAATAAAAACGTTATGACTCAAATTATTCTTAAGTAGCGTCAGAAGCTGCTTAATACCATATTTCGATGCTAGGAAATTTTTCACCACCTGAAACCGTTTTCGTTCTTGCGATCTTCAAAACCAACCGTTTTCTCACCACCTGTCTACGTGCAACTTCATTCAAAATTTGGACTTTTAGCGCTATTTTGTATATCTCTGAAACGACTCGAACGATTTTTTTAAGATCTCTTCACATAATCTTCATAATGTATATAAAAATGTCTGAAACTTTCATTAAGATTGATTCACTGCAACACCTTGAAATTTCAAGACAAACCTATCCTACGAACCGGTCAAAAATCCGCGCTACAACATTCACTGTTTTGACGTTATGCTAATTTTTCCAAATTAATGCGTACAATACATATATAAATGACTAGTACATTTCAGTGTGAGGATTGTCAATGTTTTACATTCAAAATATGCGCTAAATTCAAACTAAAATGCACCACTCATGGAGGTATGTATAGTGCGCATTATTTTAGAAAAATTAGGATAACGTCAAAACAGTAAATGTTGTAAAGCGGATTTTTGACAGGTTCGTAGGATAGGTTTGTCTTGAAATTTTAAGATGTTGCAGTAAATTAATCTCAATGAAAGTTTCAGACCTTATTATATACATTATGAAGATTATGTGAAGAGATTCTTAAAAAATTCGTTTGAGTCGTTTCAGAGATATACGAAATAGCCCTAAAAGTCCAAATTTGGAATAGCTTGGAATGAAGTTGCAAACGGGTTAGTCTTGAAGATCGCAAGAAAGAAAATACACCAAAATCTCCTAGCATCAAAATATGATATTAGGTAGCATTCTGACGCTCCTTAAGAATGTTTTGAGTTATTTATAACGTTTTTATTAAATAATCTATCACGGCTATCGAAAATTTAAGAGGCTGTCTCAGTAAAAACCGCCCACTCAATTTCGCGTGAAAAATAATTTTGCCTGAAACTCTGGCTTTATCGAGAGTATAACTAAAATAGGTTTGCTTTGATTCACAATAATTTTCTGGCCGCGCTGGGGGGCGCCGAGTATTTTGTCCCACCACGTCTTGAAAACTGAAAATTTGGCATTTTTTGCGGCGCTGTAAAATGTTTGATTTGCACCATCTACCAATGAATTTTATACCTATTTATAGGTAAACATCTCTAGTTTTTCCTGAAAGTAATAGTTATTCGCTAAATTTAGCTGGAAAGACGAAATCAAGCAAAATATGACCCCAACTAATTGCCTTGGAGCGAAAGGCCAAAAATGACCCTGTTTTAAAAGCTTATTTCTGACTTTTGGGACATAGTTGAAAGCTCTCGACTAAATAGACGCAAAGAAAGACCACCTGTTATTAATAATATACAAAACCCCATGTACGTTTTCAGTATTTTAAAAGTTATGACCGTTTGTATCAACGCGTATGCGAGCTAATACGACATTTTCAGATTCAGCACAACGGATCTACACCTAATTGCAGTAACGTTGTCATAGAAATAAGCAAAAAGCAAAATGAAAAAACCAAAAAGCTATAGGATGCCAAAAGATTGGGGTCAGCCGATTTCCTTTATTTTTTCAGCATTAAGAACCAAGCTGATAAGATTAACTTTGGTGACATTAACAAGATTTCCCGGCTTTTCACTCTCGAGATTGACCACCCCTTGTTTTTGGCCAAGGGAAGCCCTAAAAACCACCAAAAACAATGGCAATTTCTCGGGTCTAAAACAATTTTTCCTTAAGGAATTAGTGCACAGATTTTTTTCTGAAGCTAAAGTACCTTAAAATAAACGTTTTGGATGCATAAAATCAAATTTTTAGTGTAACGGTAATTTTGCCCAAGGGTTTTAATCCGGGTATGTTGGGTGACTGTAACAGGACAGCGAATTTCGGCGATTTTCTAAGCCCATTTTCTTGAAAGTGCGGCGGTTTATTTGTTAAATAATTCCATTTTACAATAGTCTATACCCTTCTAAGTCAAAAGAAAAAAAGTATTGACTGGTACAAGAAACTCTTTTCAGAGGAAGCCTATTTTCGTGAACGTGATTTTGCGGTATTTTGCATAAAGCATGTAACCTTGCTTTTTGGTAATGGCCTTTAAATTGTAACTTTAGACGGCTGAAAACTTCATCACCCGTATAAGAAAAAAATAATTTGGAAAGGATACTGCAACGAAAAGAAATCAACCTTACTTTGGAACAGCGGAAACCGTTGCAGTCGTACACGCATGATACAAATTATAAAGCAGACGTATTAATTAGAATTAATTATAAAGAAATGAATGGACGATTTTTAAATTGTCTGTGCGACGAATTTTCAGCCATATAAAGTTTCAGGAGAATACTTTTTACTTGGATTTTGCAGAAAATGTTTGTTGGCCAAAATATGAAACTAAGAAATCAATAAACGACTTACACGTATAATTGTAGCTGCGTAATTTGAGATCGAGCAACATCTATAAATTTCTATGTCTCGCGCGCCGCTGGGTTATCAGGTTTCATTTACGACTCGCCGAAATTTGCGTACTTTCGTTTTACCAGACTTGCTTTAAAATATGAACTGTTCGTTCGCTTCACAAGAGTCACCTTGTAGTTCTTACGGATCTAGTACAAATGTTCTGCCGCTGGATGCTTGTAAAGAAGACATAACACCACACTTACTGGGACTTGGTGTGAGTAGCAAGCGAGGATGGCGATCCGAAGGAATAGAAATCACTGAGAAGGAGCTCATCGTGAACAGAGCAGGACACTTCGATTTATCTCAAGACAGAGTAGCAGCCATGACCATCTGTCCTAAACACAGAAGAGACCTGACAGTCGACTGGAGAGGTCGTAAAAGTTCGACATGTTGCTATCCATCGCACGAAGGTCAACGCAAGCAGGTCAAGGACCCACGCCGTGTCAATTACGCAACGTCCAAGGAAATCTTTGCTTTACACAATGCTGCTGTCCCAGTTGGGTCCAGTGAGTGTCTCTTATTACTTTAAAATCCTTTTGTCGATCTTACCTGGTAAATTACGTTTCCCATAAATATCACGAAAGGCTCTAGGCTCTAGGAGTATCGAGTATGACTATTGCAGTGAAAGCCCTGGCATCAAGTTGCAAATTTTAAGGCGCCACTATGGGCCTCTTCATATGAGCCCGGTTGACCGGGCTGACTCGGTTTCCGAGATCTTGCCTCACCTCTAAATCCTTTGTAAAAGTTTTCAATGTGTTCATATGAGAGGGCGGGCTGGCTCGGTTCCCGAGATCTCGGTAAGCGGGCTGGAAATTTTGCCATATGAACACATCATCCCGGTTACCTCGATGAACGGCGGGATGAATTCTGGCGGTCCGGATGGCATCGTCTTGCATTGCCTGCTGTATTTTCCACATCATAAGCATCCCATTTAACTGCAGTGATACAGCTTTAAGAGTTACCGATGCCAAGATAGGCCCGAAAGTTAAAATGTTTGTGTTTCGCTATGTTGCTTTGTTTCCCAAATTTGGCGCCAGAACTCGTACCCAGGATCTTTGACCTTTTCTCATCTCGGAAACCGGGCTGAAATTTCTCATATGAACCCAAGGCAAAATTCATCCCAGTAACCGAGCCAGCCGGTCAACAGGGCTCATATGAAGAGGCCCTATATCAACAGAAGCGCGGGGGGTGGGGTAAATTTCCTTAGATGTGCCATAAATCAAACAAGGGTGAGCCATCCTCGGAGACCCAGGGGCAGTCAGTCGGGTCGGGAGAAAAGGCGCGAAAAAAGTTTTCAAGCACAGACTGACTGCCCCTGGGTCTCCGAGGGTGGGGTGAGCAAGCAAGATACTTTTATTCAGAACGGAAGCTAGCCTGCGAAGCACAGACGTATTTCCGGTCGTCGCCTCTCTCCCTCCGAAAAATAACAGAGGGAGAGAAGCGACCACCGGAAATACGTCTGCGCTTTGCAGGCTAAACGGAAGCCTTTTTTGCCACAAAAAGTCTTTTCAAGTGTTGTCGTGACAGAAGCTACAGCGTGACACGCCTACATGAACAGGAACTATAAACTACAACTGTAAACGTTTTTCAGATTATTTTAGAACAGGAAAATTATTTCAAATAAAAAGTAATCATTCATCTCGCGCTATTTTCTTAAAATGTTTTAAGTGCTCGTACTTTTCCACTTTCACTGATGACAAGATTGAAACTCAATTTCTAAATTTTAGCTGTCCCACAAACTATGTATAAGATTCGATTTTTGGGGTTTGAAGTAAGAGTGACATTTTTAATCTTTATCCATTTTATTTGTATTAGCTATTTGTGTAAAGTGTCGCACAGAGCATTACAGACTACGCCATGAAGAAGACTCTGAAAGAGGAAGGGGCGATCAGCAGGTTGTGTATTTGCTTTCTTTAGTCACGCAATTTAAGCTAGGCATCTGAAACACTTAACAACAGGTTTAAATATTTAAAAACCTATTCAAGACTGTAAAAGAAAACAAAAGAAGAACAACAGAAAAATCGTGAAAGAAACGTGGATGGGAAACTCGAGGGGGGGTGGAAGGGAATTTGGAACAAAAATATCATTTGCTGGGAAGCTAGGAACTGAGAACGAAAAAGCGATAGATAGCATTGCCAACGTTAATGTCTCTTTTTTCAGTTTGAAAATAGATGGAGTTAGATGGACTAGCTGTCCCCACCCTAACGTTTTTTAGCGACCTGCAAGCTTGATGCAGTCCGACCAGTACCACTCTACGACGGCCACTTTTTGAGGGGGCGTTGTAGAGAGTGTCCTTTATGGGGGAGGGGGAAGGGTGTAAATGTGACACAAAGATTTTTATTTTGGAGAAAGGGAAGAACATTTTTACTTTCATAAATGCTTGCTCTAACATATTATTACGTAACAAATCTATCAATTAACGAAAATTATTAAAACAAAAATTATAACAAAATAAAGCGACTAAGGTATAGTGAGTACATCAGTTTTGTATAGATCGCTTTCAGTTGAAACTTCTATTTGTGTAGATATCATGACTAGTAAACTACAATAAAAGAGACGCGGCAAATCGACGTTTGCTGTTTGTCGTGATTCTAAATCTCTCTAATGTAAGGACGAGGGGTAGGCTCTAGTACCGGGAAAGGTTTGAATGCAATAGAGAGAAGTCGTTACGTCACGTCACGTTGCCATGGTAGCAAAATTTTTGGATGACAACAAATCGAAAATTCGGTTTCAGGTTTTAGTCTGTTTGCAACTTTTAGTGGTTTTTACTCGTTAAGGAGTCCTGTAACTCCCTTTTTCTGTGGCTCCATTCTCCGTAACAACGTAACAGAAAAATTATGGAAATGTAGTTAATATCCCTTTTATTGCACTGACAGTCTCAAGTGGCTGGTGATGAAGATGTATTTGAACTGCCGCAGCAGAATGAAGATCAGGGGGTTCTGGTAACGTCTAATGCAGAACAAGAGATGGTTTCATCATCATCACAATCATCCCAACAAAGAATCCCAGAAGAAGAAATCAGTATCTGGTCCGACAAAGTAGAGGAACAGCAACAGAGAAGGCAGCTACTGAACAATACCATTAGCACTTTATCTGGAGGAAGAATTTCACCTATTCTGTCAACTTTGAATACGTCTTGGGACAGGAGCCCATCAAATGGAGCTTCCATCTCCCATACAAGCCCTTGGAGTCAACCCTTTCCCGAGTAGATTTATAATTAGAACGGTTCCCAGGGGAGACTTCGCACTCCGACAGTGAGAAGAGCCAATCACAACAACGAAATGACAGTGCTATTGTACTTCATCAAACAGCAGGAAATTCGGTGCTGACAGGTCAAACAAAATCATAAGCTAGTGAAACGTGACTTGAGCATTTTCATCCCTCAGATATTTTCTTTCTTTTCTTTCTAGCAGGTAGATTATACTGTGGAGAGTTTAAACTCTGACTATGTTAATCTTAATTTTGGCTGCTTGTATCACATTATTAAATGAAGCCATGAAGCTGGTCTGTCCATGCATAATGTTTAATTACTTCCCGCAGTCTGTAGTTCTGACAAGATTCGTTTTCTTGAGCCAATTTTTTTAAGCGTTAAAGTTCTTATTTCGGCTAATTGACTCAATATTAAACAATTTTTTTAGTTTTTCATGCTTTTTTTTTCCGAAATGCGTTTATCTGAATAAATACTTGTAGTCATTGAGGTTCTTTTTCCGTCAGCTAGTGTGATGATTCCCTGCTATGTTTTGTAACGCCGGGCCCAGCTATTTAACATTGTTATCGCGCCAAAAGTGATCTACAGATGCGAATTCGAAGGAAAAAATTGAGCTTAAACTTCTACATTAACTGCTAAGAATTTTTCCTGTTAGTCAGTCATAATTCTTTTGGCGCAGATACAATCCATTCTGTTTTTCTTAAGATAAGTGGGCCTTTGCGGTGTCACAAATTCCTCCGTAAGCAAAGTACTTTTGAGTTAGCTTCACAGTCGAGCAACTGTTCGCTTCTGTCCAACTTTTTAATTGCCGGTTTTATCAGGCAACACTCACGGTAATACAAGTCAGTTGTAAAGGAAGATTCAATTTGTCAAATTTCGGAACCAAAGCATTCCTCTTTAGTTGCTACTTAGGTCCTCGCACGCGGTGCTTAACTGGCGAAATCCACTCCACGGTGATGACAAAAATCAAATCATGATCCTGGTACTTTTTCGGCGCTGATCATCGAAAAGTTCCAAATCTTCCACAGAACGCTTAATCGTCGACTCTTTTCGAAGTGCATGCTTACACGTGGGATGTATGACGGGAAAAAAAAACCGCTCGCAAAGATAACCTTTCCGTGATCCTCAGTTCGCTGCCTTTGTCCCATCGCTTCATGCTCAGTCGTTGGGTAATTCATTAACTTTTGTTTTATGATACCCAGATCCCAGCGGCTGTAAAATCGTAAAAATGGACGTATAGTAAAAAAGGAAGACGGTCGAAGTACAGGCTTTTGAGTTCAACTTCATCCAACTTTATTTTTTCACGGTGACATACGAGACTCACGGAAATATGACACTTTTCGCGGGAAAGAAGCCGTTCTATTTATAAATCTACTCGGGAAAGGGTTGACTCAAGAAATTAGTGGAGATGGAGGCTCCATTTGATGGGCTCCTGCTTGGGATGATATATCGACAACACAGCAAAAGTACTATCTGCGAAAGGCCAAAGAAAGCATCTGCACAGCACTTTCGGTCCTTAGCCCTGGACAGGAAGAGGAATCATGGACCACTCTTCGACAGGAAAGATTAGTAAATAAGGATTCTGCTGGTGCCACTAGACGTAGAAGTTTTGATCCGAAATCTGGGCTAATCGACGTTCTGATCAAGTCATATAACCATGCCGAGTCATGGCAAACAAAACGACAGATACTCTCTCTCTTTGCCAATGATTTTAGCAGGTCCCAGTTGATGAGCATGATACCAACACTTTCAAAATGGCGAATAGATGAAGCTCGACAGCATGCTACCAAAGTTGGTGAAAGTCTGCCTGTTCCGCAAGAGCCAATTTTCCGTTCCCGAATCTCACCCGTTCAGATTGATCATTTTATCGATTACATCGCAAGACCTGAGATGCTGCAGGACGTAGCATTTGGCACAAAAGTGCTTAAGCTCGATACGGGAGGAAGCATTATCATTCCGGCAGTTATAAGGACTGATACCGTCAAGAATAATTGAGCAATACTCAGTTTACTGCAAAGAGCAAAATTTTGAACCAGCAGGACAGCGTTCACTCTACAGAATAATAGAGGTGTGTGGTGCCTCAATGCAAAAATCTTTGCAGGGACTCGACAACACTACAGTAGAAGGGACGGAGGCCATAGACAATGTCACTGACGTGCTTAAGACGCTTGGAGACTATGGATCGGAGCCTACCTGGGTAAAGGATGCAGAACAAAAAATCAAGGAGGCAAAGAGATACCTTAAGACTGAGTTTAAGTCCCATGTTGGCAGAGAGGAAACTTGTGCTGACCACTGCACTGCACATGCCCTAGGTGACACAAGTGACTCCAACCTGCAAAGCATATGTCAGCACGAACATGAAACTGACTGCGAGCAATGCGAATCATTAGAGACAGTTTTGAAGGAAATTGAATCCGAGATCAACCGTGTTGAGATGCCGGAGGAGCACAGATGGCGGTTAAGCCACGACTACAAACTCTGTTTGGCATCTATCCAGGACTGGAAGGCGCATTTGCTCCGCACAGTAAATCAAGAAGAAGGAAAGCAATTTGCTCTTGTACATGTTGATTCAGCTTCATGTTTAATCGTTATGGATTGGGCCATGAACTACCTCCCACAACGTCATCGGGAACGAATGAGTGATTTCTTCGGAAAACGAGGACGACCCGTGTGAAATACCATTCCATGGAATTCCATGGAAATCCATGGAAATCCATGGAAATCTATGGAAATCCATGGAATTCCATGGAAATAGATGGAAATCCATGGAATTCCACGGAACTTCCAAGGAGTATCCATGGAGTTCCATGGAATGCCATGGAGTTCCATGGAGTATCCATGGAGTTCCATGGAATGCCATGGAGTTCCATGGAATGCCAAGGAGTTCCACGGAGTTCCATGAAGTAGTGATGGAGTTCCATGGAATGCCATGAAATTCCATGGAATATCGTGGAGTTCCATGGAATGCCATTGGGTTCCCTGAAGTACCGATGCAGTTCCCTGGAATGCCATAGCATGCCCATGGAGTTAGATAGAATACCATGCAGTTTGTATGAGAAAATCCATAGAAATTCAGTAATCAAGCAACTCATCAACTTGTTAGCCACATGTTCAAGTCTGCACTTTTTATTGGATAGAAAAATAGGAAACATTTGAAAGCTTTCTAAAAGCAAAATAGCTAGTACGTTTAAATTACACAGATAATGCAAAAGTATAATGTTCACCGATGCTGAAAGTCCCAGTGTAAGAAATTTTATTGCTAACTATAAGGAGGAATCTTTTGTGTGCTTAATAAAAAAATGATCCTGTTAAAAAAAAATAAATATAGAAAATTATTTTTTAGTAGGGCTGTCTGCCATTTATCTTTTAAAATCAGAGTTGCATTTAAAATATGAGAAGATCACTGTTATTAACAACATGCAGTTGCTTCATTACATTGTCACAGTGCCCCTATTCGTACAGGACCCTTACACCGACGTATATCTGCTATGACATACAGGATCAAGTCTCTACTTGAAATTTATATGAAATTTCTGATCAACAAATTTCCATGAAAGTGTAAGTCTCTTCAACCACTGTTCCATTTTTAACGAAAAATTTCAGTGGCAAATTTTGAAAAGAAGAAAAATTCGATGTGGCAATTAAGATTGAGAACCGATCCAGGGGCGTAGAAACCGTAATTCGTAGCGTAACCACTCTACCGCGGAGTAGTAACTCGCTACGGTGGAGTTTGATTTTATTCATATATAATAACAACAACCGTAACCCTAATTAGAGGCTAACCGTTTCCAGTCAGTGCTTAAATAGACCTAATCAGTTTAGTCGGAATCCCGTATGAATAGCAAATACAAGACGATGTACGGGTCCCGTACTTAAATAGCCAGTACTGGAAATGATCCCACTAGGCACATTAACTCTTCTCGGTATCGAAGTGTGTTTTGGTTGAGAGCTAAGATTTTCCCTATTACTCGAGTCCAACCTGATTGATGAGATTGCTTTGTATGAAGTATTTCGGCGAACCTACACAAGCAATATTAGAGTTTTTTTGCCGCATCCGTGGATAGGCTAGTCTGCTTCACAGCCGTTTTTAGTGGGAAGGAGCGTTGCGTGACGACACTAAGAACGGCTGTGTACATAAGACTATGAATATGCCTGCTGCCTTTTTTCATAGGTTCCCTCACCTGGGAGAACAATGCAGTATTTTCCTCTCACTGCTTTACTCTTCGACAGCGTCGGAATGGTACAATTAACTCTGAAAGGGACCACAATTTAAAGCCTTTAAAGACAGACATCTCCACGATCGTGCCGTGATTTGACGCCATGTTTGGTGCTTGAACTGGCGTCCAGACCTCTCCGATTTGGGACTTACGCGATCACGTGGGGCTTTTGAGCCAATAGAAATGCGTAGAAGATCAGTTTTCTTGGTTCGAATATTTAGGCGGACTTCTGTGCAGTACGACAGTGTTGTGTAAACGGATTGTTTTAGCGATGAATGCATCCGAAAAAGATGTTATTTTCAACGCAAAATATCACTTGTGAGGTTGCTTACATTTGGCTTCTTTCAAATCGACTTCAATTAAACAATGACTCAGCTGGATCGCACATTAAAGAGGAAGGTAAGCTTAATATACACAACTCGTGTTTGGTTGCTCAACTGAATTCGTCCGCTCGATTATGTCTCTGCTAGATTTAGAAGGATGACTTTTCGGGTGCTGTTTATCGGTTTTAATATGTAGTTTCTATCTTTTTTGTTTATACAGATATGAATGTGGTCTTTCCTGCAAATTGCCTTTGGAATCCTTTGGAATAAATACTAATTCTGGCAGAATTAGAAATCGGAGACTGTACTTCGCTGGACTGCTTCGATTCATAAGAAGAAATATCATACTTAGAACTTTCATGCCTGCTACGTAAAAACTATACAAGAGACTGATAAATTATAATTGTGGCTGACGCCGTTTTTTCCCAAGGATAAGGTAGGACTTTGCTATAACTAAATACCATAGTGGTTCTGATCGAGGAAATAATGCACTTATCAATTGAAACCCCGACCAACCCCCCCCCCACCCCGGGCCAAGGTGGGGATTTGACTTGGCATCATTACAAATCTTAGCAAACTCCCACCATACTGGGGCATATTGACTGGTAAAACCCCCACCCAAGTGGGGAAACCTTTTTAATTCCCTGACTGACTTTATTAACATTTCGTTGGAATTTTCAACTTCTTTATTGACAAATTTACTAGAGCAAAAA